CTGTCAACAAGTAAAGTATGAACACCAAAGGCCCGGAGGAACACTTCAGAGAATGCCCATTCCGGAATGGAAGTGGGAGAGGATTGCAATGGATTTTGTGGTTCGTCTTCCAAAGACAATGGGTAAGTATGACTCTATTTGGGTGATTATTGATAGGTTCACTAAGTTTGCTCATTTCATTCCGGTCAAGGTGACTTACAATGCAGAGAAGTTAGCCAAAATCTATGTCTCAGAAATTGTTCGGTTGCATAGGGTTCCACTCTCCATCATATCAGATAGAGGTACTCAGTTTACTTCTAAGTTTTGGAAAACATTGCATGCGGAATTGGGTACTAGGTTGGACCTTACTACTGCGTTCCATCCTCAGACCGATGGTCAGTCTGAAAGGACGATTCAAGTGTTGGAGGATATGCTTCGTGCGTGTGTGATAGAGTTTGGTGGTCATTGGGATAGCTTCCTACCCTTAGCGGAGTTTTCATACAATAATAGCTATCACTCAAGCATTGACATGGCTCCATTCGAAGCCTTGTATGGTAGGAGATGTAGGTCTCCCATTGGTTGGTTTGATGCATTTGAGGTTAGGCCTTGGGGTACTGACCTTTTGAGAGATTCGATAGAGAAAGTGAAGTCTATTCAAGAAAAGCTTCTAGCGGCGCAAAGTAGACAAAAAGAATATGCAGATCGAAAGGTTAGGGACTTAGAGTTTATGGAAGGTGAACAAGTCTTGTTGAAGGTTTCGCCCATGAAAGGGGTGATGCGGTTGGGAAAAAGGGGTAAACTAAGTCCAAGGTACATTGGACCATTTGAAGTACTTAAGTGAGTAGGAGAGGTGGCTTATGAGTTAGCCTTGCCTCCAGGGCTGTCCGGAGTACACCCGGTATTCCATGTGTCGATGTTGAAAAGATACCATGGGGATGGGAATTACATTATCCGATGGGATTCAGTTTTGCTTGATGAGAACTTGTCTTATGAGGAGGAGCCTGTTGCTATTTTAGATAGAGAAGTTCGCAAGTTGAGGTCAAGAGAGATTGCGTCCATCAAGGTGCAATGGAAGAATCGACCGGTTGAAGAAGCCACTTGGGAGAAGGAGGCGGATATGCAAGAAAAATACCCACATCTGTTTACTGATTCAGGTACTCCTTTTCACCCTTGTTTTCCTTCTTTTGATCGTTCGGGGACGAACGATGGGTAAATTGGTATCTAATGTAATGACCCGTTTAGTCGTCTTGAGCAACAGACTTCAATTCTGGAAAAACTGGCAGAAGCGACGGACCCCACGACGGACTGTCAAGGGCACGACGGACCGTCGCAGGGTCTCGTTTCAAAACACTTAGAAAATCTGAAATTGGGTACTGAAAATCGACTCTCTGAACTTCGTGACGGAATGGCAGGACGGACCGTCACGGGCGTGATGGACCGTCACGGAGACTTCAGTGAAAATCCACTCTCTGAACATTGCGACGACCTGCAGGACGGACCGTCGCAGGCACGACGGCCCGTCACAGGCACGACGGCCCGTCACAGGTTGCGCAAATCCCTGGCAGGATCGGATTTCCTTACACGTTTTAAGGGACGTTTTTGGACCATTCTTAT